CCTATCCCCGGAGCACGCTGAGACAGCGGATTGAGATTGGGCATGGTGGTGCACACCTGTAATCCTAGCTCTTGGGAGGCTGAAAACAGGAGAATCACTATGAGTCCAATCTACATAGTGAAGCCCTGCAGACCCTGTACCAAATACATAAAAAATAAGTATATATATATATATATATATATATATATTCAATGAATAAAAAGGGATAAGAGAGGCTGGGTGTGGTAGTGTACATCTGTAACCCCAGAACTGGGGCGGCAAAGGCAGAAGGATTGCTTCAAATTTAAGGCCAGTCTGGGCTACATAATGAGATCCTATCTCCAAAAATCCAAAAGGGGGAAGGGTGTAGATTCCCAGTACTATCCAAAAGAAAAAAAAAAGGAAAGAAAATGACAAACTTTTATGAAGTGAATATGTTCTCTCTATACTTTTAAATTGTATGCTGCTCGTCTATTTTTCTCCTTCTTCTGGTGCTGCAGATTAAATCTAGGGCCTCATGCATGCTAAGCAAGAACTCTATCACTGAGCTACCCTCCCCCATCTTGGTTTTTGCCTCTATTGGTGAATCTGTTCTCTTGTCATTGACCACATAGAAAGACCTGTAATTTACTAACTCACTGAGAAACTCAAATTATGAAACATTTGTAAAAACTTCTGTTGTTTTAGCACTTTTAGTATCATCTATCACTTACATGATTGAGGCAGGAGTGTCCATCCCTCTTGGGTGACCAACTGCCCCAGTCAACCTGAGACTCTCTTGGTTTAAGCACTTAAAGTCTCATGTCATGGAAACCCTCAGTACTGGGACTAAACCAGGTCATCTGCGAAAGTTTCAGGCACTGAGCTGGGCACTGCCCATCCGTACACCCCACATGCATGGACCAAAGCCAAGGGTAAGTTTGCAAGTGTTTACCTAATGCATAAGGAAACAGCCTTAGGGTAAATTGTTGCCTAGGCCTAGGGTAGGCAGAGCCAGACAGGTCTCCCAGACCCTAAGTGCCCAGTTCTGGGTCTCAGAGCACAAAGAAGACACTGGCCAGGGAGTGGCTGAACCTCACAGGGCCCCTGGGCCTGCGTGGCGCTTTGCTGCCCCCTGGTGGCAGTTGGGATGGCACTCTGGGTCTGCATTCCCTGGATCCTCCAGCATGAGGGATGCTCTCATCTCAAGTGGCAGAACCTCCCCGAGGCGGGCACCACGTAGACAACCCCACCAGGGTCTTGTCCCATCCGTCCGTGACTCACATCATTTAGCCAGGCTCTCCAACCCCAGCTTTTAGTCTATGTGGTATTTACCCTTCCCTGTGCCTCTGTTCCTTCTCTATATAGTAGGGATGATAAAAATGTCAGCATAGGCCAGACATAGAAATGGAGGCTGTTGTTATCACCTGCTTAACTCCCTGCTGCTGCTGTGCATTGGTGCACCGACTCATTCGCTTTGCTTCCACATGGCAATCACCACGTGCTGGGTGGAGGTGCTTGGGGGACATCTGCCTGGCAGACAGACACCGCCCTTTTCCTGCTGGCTCTGTCACTCTCTACTACCCCAGTATCTCCAGGTTTCATGGGTGCATTGAGTGTCCACTTACTTAATGAGCGTTCATTCATCCTTTTTCACACTCAACTTCCTCATTCACTTTGCATCAATCAGTTGCTCATCTCAGGGACACGCTCACGGACTCTTCATCCGCTTTTCCGTTTCTGTGTTCCTCGAGCATCCTAGAAGCAGCCCCTGGGTAGCAGGCCAGGGTTAGATGCTGGCATTCCGCTCACGTCTGTCAGGCCCAAACAAGGGAGCACTGAGAAAGGAGTGAATTATGGTCTGCAGCTGGGGCGGAGGGTGTTCTAAAAAGGCTGCATGGAGAAGACAGCATTTTTTTTATGTTTTGCACTTGGTGGGGAAGATTAACTCAGGGCCTTTCTACTGAACTCCATCCCCAGCCCTTTTCTTTATTATTTTGCAACAGGGTCTTGCTAAGTCACTAAGCTGCAAAGGTTGTACTCAAATTTGTGATCCTTCAGCCTCAGCCTCCCAGAATGCTGGGATGACAGGCATGTGCTGCCTACCCAGTGAGGAAATAATATTTAAGACAAGAAGGTTGTATGGGGGTCAAGTATAGTGCACAAGCTTATAATCCCAGCTGCTTAGGAAAGGATCCTAAGAAGGATCACGAGTTCCAGAGCAGCCTGGGCAATTTAGTGAGATCCTGTCTGTTATGGTTTGTCTAGAGGTCCCCTCAGAACCTCACTCAATCATGGGGCAGGCTTCTAGGGTTTGTGACTGCTCATGGTCCAGTGATGGGATTATGGGTGTGAATGCTACACGCCCCCTGGGTACATCCTGCACACAGTACAAGGGAGGGAAAGAGGCTTGCTTACTCTGCTCCTCCCTTTTGTTCTTCTTGCTCTTGCTGTTTTCTGCTGCTATGAGTTGTTGCTCTCTTCCATGTGCTACTCTGCCTCAGAGCCAGCTGAGGATGGACTGAAACCTCCACACACTGTGAGCTAAGTAAATCTTTCCTTAATTCTGAGCATCAGGTATTTTGTCTCAGCAATGAGAGGTAATCAAGACACTGTCTCAAAATAAGTAGAAGGATGAGGGATGCAGCTCAGTGGCAGAGCGCTTGCCTAGCACGCGTGAGGTCCCGGCTGTGATTCCCAATACCACCTCTACCACTACCACCACAAAAAGGAGCGAGGCATGGTGATTGCGTGTGAGTTCTCCAAGGTGCATAAGGCAAAGTCTTTGATTTGTGCAGTGTCTGGAGAAAAGTGAGGTGCCAAAGTGGTAGGTGTGTGATGGACAGTGAGTTTGTGTGGGAGACCCTACCCAGCTCAAGCCTTCCCATGTTCCTGGGACAGACCTGGCCAGTCAGGAGCTTCTCCAAATCTCCTTCACCTGAATAGCTGTTACAAAACTAACATAGCACTGTTTAGGTGCCCGCCCTTTGTCCATCTGTCCATCTGCCTGGGGACCCAGTGGAGAGCTGTCCTGGACTGGGCAGGGTGCAGCGGCACTAAGGCGAGCCTGCCCCCAACGTGCCATGTTCATCAGTAAATGTCTGTTGAGTACTTCATTCAGGGCTGAGCCTTGCTCCACAGATTGGGATACAGCAGCAAACAAGACCAATTGTCTACTGTTAAGGAGGGAAAGGGACAAATGACAAAACAGAAAAACCAACAGCAAGCCTAGCATGCCTATGATCCCAGCACTCTAGGAGGCTGAGACAGGAGGATCACAGTATGAACCTAGCTGGGGCAATTTACCAATATCTTGTCACAAAAGAAAGGAGAAGAGAATTTAAAAGGGCTAGGGACATAGTTTCATGTGAAGACTCAGTTCCCGGGGCTGGTGGGGTAGGGGGTAAAATCCAGCTGTAAAGACCTCCAAGAACACAGCTATCATTGAACAATTGTGTTTATGGCTCATTGCAGAAAGAAAGACTGCTCTTCCTTCAGTGAGAGGATGTCAAAAGGGCTTATCACAGGATTTGGGGTTTATGTAAAGTGGTTTGAGGAGGACTCAAGAAAATCTGGTTTTGCTGTGGATTAGATGCTGTCAAGTAGTGAAGACAAGTCTATAATTAGATACTTAATAAATATTTTTATTAGAGTCTCTAGAGAAACAACCAATAGGATGTATTTTATTGTAAAGAATTTTATGACAAAGAATTACAGTGACTGACAAATCCTGAGTACTGCAGGTGAGGCCAAAAGCTGGAGCACCGCCAGCGCCCATACAGCAGTTCCTGTCTGAAGGAACTGAGTTGGAGGGCCTGCGCGCAGAACAGCCGTGTTTCAGCCCCATCTGAAGGCCAGGGAAGGATTAATGCTGCAGCCGCTGGTTCCGAAGGCATCAGGCAGGAATTTGGTCCTAGAGGATGGCTGGGTTTTCAGCTTTATTTAGGTCTTCAACTACTTAGATGAGGTTCACCACCTTACAGAAAAAAAAAAAAAATCAGTAAGCCTACCAATTTAACTGATAATATCAGGGCCAGCCAGATAGCTCAGCGGACTAAAGCACCTGCTTAGGCAGAGCACAGAGACTGTGGTTCGATCTCCAGCACTACATGGTGTGCCAGACCCGCCCCTGGGGCGCGCTGAGCAGGGCAACTGAGACTGGGCGTCTTGGCCAGAGCCTGTAATTCCAGCACTTGGGAGGCTGAAAACAGGAGGATCACTATGAGTCCGATCTTTGCAGTGAGACACTGTTGACTCCATAGATCTATATCTATATCTATATCTATATCTATATCTATATCTATATCTATATCTATATATTCTGCCAAACAGTGGTGCTTTCCTGCAAATCCAGTACCCTGCAAGGTTGATACAGAATAGCAAGTTCCAGTTCAGCCTGAGTAATTTAGCCACTTCTTTTATTTTGTACCGGAGATAGAACTCAGGGCCTTGCACTTACGCACTTAGTGCGACCCTGTCTCAAAAAATAACAGAAGTGCGGGGTATGTAACTCGGTGCGAAGGCCCTGGGTACCCGCCAAGAAATGCTCATTCACTTGGCAGGAGTCCCGGTAGTTTCAAGGTGGCAAAGATCTGGCCCCAGTCTTCAGAGAGCTTGGTGACACATTTGCGCTGTGGTATTCAAATAGGGGGAAGCGGGTACCAGACGCAAGCACCAACCAGCACCATTCCCGAGGAGAGAGGAGCAGAGCAGGGAGAGGTGCCCGAGAGGTCCGCTGGGGACAGGCCACCAGGGCATGAAAGGTCACCTCTGCAACAGGGATGTGAGCATCATACTGTACTAATTTACTGAGAAACAGGAAATGATTCCTTTTTTTTTTTTTCTTTTTTCTTTAAGGAAATGAAATCAAGTAGTTTGACCAAAGTAAACTCGGCGAACTTTGAGCTCATGAATATTCATCAACCTCTTTCAGGCCTGCGATTCCGCCCGCCCCTTCCACGGTCTCAGTGCACATGCGCGCCTGGCGCGTCTCTGACGCCTTACGCGCGCGCCGCCGTAGTAGCTAGCTTAGGGAAACAGCGAAGCAGCCATGGCGAGTACGGCCCCTTCTGCGGTACGGCCACCGAGACCGAAGAAAGAGCCACAGGCTCTCGTCATCCCCAAAAATGCGGCGGAGGAGCAGAAGCTCAAGCTGGAGCGGCTCATGAAGAATCCGGTAAGACGGGGCTCCACCGCCTGTTGGAAGTCACCTTTCAGCTTGCGCGCCGCCGGACTCTGGAACTCCGTGCTCTTCCCACAGGACAGTCCTTCGGGATGCTCAGGCCGCCCTGGAGAGAGTGAGCTTTCCGACCGTCCTAGTGTTAGAGACCAGCTGGCATGAAGGCGCTGTGGAGCGCTCTGAGGCCCTTAATTTCCTGAACAAAAGCGTTAGGCTGAAAATAGAGAATCTGTAGCTTAGCCGAAGTCTTTCTTCTAAACAGCTTCCATTGGTAGAGAGACATGGCGGAGACACAGGACAAATCACTTCTCGCCTCCCTCTTCCCCGTTCAGGCCTCAGTCTTTAGGTCATAAAAACTGTTGAATGCGATGGCTTATATATCTTTGATTAAGAAAAGTCGGCCGTCGTCTTATAGGGGCCATTTTTAGCCATATTTGGTGGCCTAGATTTCCGAATTCTGTTCTGTGAAACGCAGCCCTCCGAAGCGTATGTGAGCTGTTCTACACCGAGCATACAGAATGCACCCAAGAAGCTAAGATAGGGTAGAACATAAAGTGACCCCTGGTTTCAGGAGCAAAGCAACCCTCTTCCGTAGTCTTTAGTTGCAAGAGAGGTAACTTTTTCAGCAGATTTTTTTTTTGTTTTTATCTACAAATGCTTTCCTGTTTAAATATTGCAGGACAAAGCTGTGCCAATTCCAGAAAAAATGAGTGAATGGGCACCTCGACCTCCACCAGAATTTGTCCGAGATGTTATGGGTAATGTGCTTTGTCTGTTGCTGTAAATATAGTTTTTAAAGATACATAGAAAAATACTGTGGTTATTTGACAGAGAAGACATTCACTATTCCAATACTTTGTTCTTACAGTGAAGGGGTACGATTGGAGTTTTTTTGTTTGTTTTTTCTGAGACAGGATAATACTGTGTAGTTTAGGCTGATCTCAGACTCACTGTATAGTCCAGATTGGTCTCAAACTCATGACCTTCCTGCCTCACCTTTCAGAGTACTGGGATTATAGGCAGATGCTCTTCTACATTAATCTTAATAATGTGCTCTATTGAGCTAGGTGTTAGGGAGCACATCTGTGGGAGGTTGAATAGGAGGATAGAAATCCCAGCCCAGACTACAACTTAGCACCTGAGACCCTGCATCAAAAAAGGACTCTAGGAGCCAGGCATGGTGGCACATGCCTGTAATCCCAGCACTTAGGAGGCCAAGGCAGGAGGATTGCCATGAGCTCATGGCCAGCTAGGACTACTTAGTGAATTCAAGGCCAGCCTAAACTGCACGATGAGACCCTGTATCAAAAAATACTTTTTATAAAAATATAGTTCTTTTATACATAGTACTATTTTTGTATCTCACTTCTTTTCACTCAATGTGTCATACATTTTTTTCAACTTCCATGATGTCTAATGTGTCGAATATAAAATGGAGAGGCCACAGCTTGCTGGTAAATATCTGATTTTTGAATCACAGTCTGTTCCTCCATTTAATGCAATTATAATGGAATTTTTAGTGACTCCCTAGTCCCTGCTCTGACTCATGCATCAGAGCGTTCAGTGATGCCTGCAGTATGCTGGGCACTATGCTTGCCCTTGGGTTCAAGTGGACCAAAAGCAGGCATGATCCCTTTCGTGTGAGTTTGTCTTTGTCCCTTTTTGTTAAGGAGATCCTGTGTTGGTAACTGAATTTCATCTGGAATTCTGGACTGTTCTGCCTGTAGGTTCAAGCGCTGGGGCTGGCAGTGGGGAGTTCCACGTGTATAGACACCTGCGCAGGAGGGAATATCAGCGGCAGGACTACATGGATGCCATGGCAGAGAAGGTCAGTGTGTGGAGAAGCCGGACAGCCTGCATTTGGGCAGTGTACAGTCACAACTTTGGGGGAAAAAATATTGTTTTAAAGAAAATGTTTAAAGGGAAGTACAGTTGTGGTGGAGGTCTGCCTCCTACATCCACACAGGTCAGGCCCTGTGTACCAAGGTGCTCATGCTAGGAGAGCAGTAAGGGGCAGGAGTCTGCCTTGTGTGTAGAAGGGCAGTACGCAGTCCTTCTGCCCTGTAGGCCATCTGGATCCGGCATGGGGGAGCGCCCATGCCACTGGAGGTCGTACTTCCCCCTTCTCTCTTTGGCTGCATGCTTAAATGCAATTAGCTGTGTGTTTGGTATAAATAGTCTCTTTCACTATCTGCTTCTTTGAGAATCTGGGGTTTTCTAGCTTTATGAGTGACTTTTTCATGGCAAGTGTCAAGTAATTTATTGTTTTACAAGCCTTAGAACTGCTTTTTAAAAAGAAGAAAAAGTCCTGGAGAGATAGCTTGGCAGTCTAAGTGCCTGCCTGGCAAGCACAAGGTCCTGAGTTTGATATCTGGTACCACATGTTGTGCTGGCTTTGGAACCCCAGGCGCGCTGTGCCGGCCATTGAAACCAGAAGTGGTAGTGCATGCCTATAATCCCAGCACTGGGGAAGCTGAGACAGGAGGATCACTATGAGTCCAAACTGTGTTGTGAGACCCTATACCGAATATATAAAACAAAATAAAAAGAAACAAGCTATCTTCTGTACATGTGTACCCATTCCCCAAGATGTTTGAGAACTGAATATATTGCAAATGTGTATTAATAATAAAATGAAAGAAGTTTTATTGCACATTTTTTTAAAAGGACCATTAAAAACTGGACACTGGTAAACACTTACTCTGGGATGCTGAGGCAAGAAGATTGCTTGCACCCAGGAGTTTGAGGACAGTCTAGGCAATGTAGCAAGACCTTATCTCAAGAAAAATAAAAAAAAATTAAGCTCTCTGGTGTTTCTGCTTTTTTTTGGTGCTAAGAATTGAACTGAAAGCCACATGCATGCTGGGCAAGTCCTGAACCTTTGAACTACATCCCCAGGCCTTTTGAAACGTTTTATTTTGAGACAGGTTCTTGCAAATTTACTTAGGCTCCTGAGTGGTCGGATCACAGGCATGAGCCATTCTGCCCCCATAGACTTTCTATAGTTAGCTGGAGGGAACTAAAATGTGTTCTCTGGATGGGCTTGAAATGTACTTCATGGATGTGGGAGAGAGCGATGCGAGGAGGTTGGTCAGTGGGCACTCGGTTTAGGTAGACAAGGGCCAGAAGCTCTGTGTTGCATAGTAGGGTGACTGTAGTGAGGATAACGAACTGCATATTTCATCAAACAGAATATTTTCACCACACGAGACAGGTACCTGAGGAGACAGGTACTACACTTAACCTAACTTAAACATTGCATAGGATTACATGTATTAAAGCATCACATGGTACCTTATGCATGCAGTGTTTTAGGGGCCAGGGACATAGCTCAGTGGCATAAGCATCTGCCTGCTAAGTGCAAGGTCCCAAGTTCGATCCCTGGTACCAAAAAGAAAAGAAAAGAGTTTTAGTTACCTTTTTTTTTCATTGCCAAGACACATTAGCTTACCCCTAGAATTAAAGAAGGAATGTTTTTTCTCTCTCTAGCTCACAGTTTTTGGAGGTTTCAGTTCATAATTAGCAGGGTCCAAAAGCACAGTGGAATACCAGAGGTTGTACATGCTAGGCAAATACTGTACCCTGACTCATATCCCCATGCCTCATTTTTATGTTTTTATGAACAGTGAAAAATAAATTTAAGTTAAAAAAATAAAATTAAGAATAATGTTTTTAAAAAAGAAACGGGGCTGGGGTGATAGTTCAGCAGCATAAACACCTGCCTAGCAAGCTCAAGGCCCAAAGTTTGATCCCTGGTACTGCAAAAGAAAAAAAAAAAAAAAGAAGAAGAAGAAGAAAGAAATAGTCCCATAGAAATTGAGACCCAGTGTACATTCAAGACTAGGCTCAGGGCTAGGTGTGGTGCAAGATGCCCATAATCCTGCTGAGGTGGGAAGATCTTAAGTTTAAGCCCAGCCTGGGCAATTTAGTGGCTTAGCACCACCCCGTCTCAAAATAAAAAGGACTGGGATGTAGCTGAATTCTTTTTGGTACCAGGGATCGAACTTGGGACCTTACACTTAGCAGATCCCTGGGTTTTTTCTCCAGTACTGGAACAACAAAGATACCTAGGGTCATAGTAGCACATAGGAACAGCTGGACAATACTTCTTTACAAAAACCACTGCCAATCAAGCGTTACATGTGGGAACAAAGTGGTGCATATGGAGCTCCCTTTAAGTAGCTGTGTAGTGTTTTGATGAAAATGTACTTGCAGATAGATGTACCTACCACCAGAGGGCACATTTTCCAAAATACCTGTAGCGGGCTTTGCTCTGCCTGGACCATTTTTAAGGTACTAAGAATCAGTAAACATAAGCTTTTTTCTTTGAAATAATTTTTTAAAAATTAGTATGAATTAAACGTTTTTCTTTGAAATCTTTTTTTTTCTTTGATTTCTTTGAAATCATAGTAGGTGGGCACATGACCTGAGAGGAAACTGGCAGAGTCTGTCTTGTCAGTGTAACCCAAAATACAGTACTTGGAAAGCTTTAAGAGCCCCAAGAGGATTTTGGAGTTTGCCATAAGGCAGTATTCAACACAGGAGTATCATTTGTGGTTAATTTCTAAAGCCCCAGTCTTATTTTGAATAAATGATGCCATTCTGTCTGGTTAATTCACAATTACTTAGACTGAATGCCTTAAAATTAGATGTGGTCATTGTAACAGAACCAAGAGGAAAATCAGCATCCTGTCTGTGTCTTATGACAGAATCCTCCAGGCAAGGGGAAGCTGTTTTTATTTTGAGACGGTCACACTTAGTTACGGTGTTGCCCAGGCTGGGTTCAAACAGAGTGATAGGATGACAAGATTGTGTCGCCATGCCTGGCTTGTCCATGTGTGTTTTAAAGAGCATCGAAATTGTTGTGCAGGTTGAGAATGTAAGGTGCCCCACTCACATCTTTAATCTCAAATTGAAGCCATTCTCTTAATTGAAATAAGGTAATAAATTCTGTTATTTGCAGCCAGTAATAACAGAGAAGGCATCACTGAAGAGCAGCAACTTATGGCATTTTACTTTTATAACTGAATTTTGAGTTATTTCTCTCCCAAAATAGATGTTGTTTGGATTGGGGGGGGGGGGGACAAAAATTGAGTTGAATCTGTAACTTGGATGAGAATGGATGCTGTCTTTAATCAACTTATCAAGAAATTTTGGGGGCCTGCCCATTAGCTCAGTTGTTTCAGTGACTGTTTAAACAAAGCAATCAGGATGCTGTGGTTTCATCCCCAGATCCTCAAGCCTTACCAGACCTGCCCTGAAGACATCCTGAGCCAGCCAAAAAAAGAAAAAAATACTTCTGAACTTTAAGAGAGAAAGAAAACAAAAAAATACTTCTGAACTTTAAGAGAGAGAGAGAGAGAGAGAGAGAGAGAGAGAGAGAGAGAGAGAGA